TCAGGGGTTCACAGCCAGTGTGGCTGGGGAAGAAGTTTTCACATGTAATGATATTGTCCTGTGTTGTGTTATAAAAGTGCCACAGGAACATGGAGGATGATGCTGCAGACACATCTCTGGGAAGGAAACTTAAGCAACTGGTGTAGGAAGCAAAGGCATGGGAAGGGTGCTGCGGTGGGGTTTCTGTCTGCAGGGTGAGTGATGGGCAGGCTGTTGTGCCCAGCTCAGCACACAGTTATGTCATGTCGGTCTCAGTGCTCTTGCATGCAACTAACAGAATAGCCAATAGCAAGTGGCCTACCTAGCTGATTTTTTAAAAAATACATTTTTATTGATTTTAGAGAGAGGAAGAGAGAGAGAGAGACATTGATGAGCGAGAACCATCGATCAGTTGCCTCCTACACATTCCCTGCGGGATTGAGGCTGTGTCCTGATTGAGAATTGAACCCATGACCTCTGGGTGCATGGGACAACGCTCAACCAACTGGGCCACACTGACCCGGGGAAATTTTTGTTTTTCTTTTCTCACATGACAAGTCTGGAGTTAAGTTGTTGGGGAGGTTAAAGCTCAGAGTTTGCTTCTTCGTTACCCCCAGGGCCAGGGCTCATGAGACCTCACTAACTGAGCCAGAAGTTCTCTCATTTGTGCTTCCAGGTCTCAGTCTAGCAGTCCCTGATGCGAGGCCTGTGTCCAGTAACTTGCTCACCGGCTGGAGCAGGGCTTTTTTTAGTTCCACCTCCGGGTAAAGCATGCTCTGCCAGCCTATTTGGTGATTATAATAGGCAAAAAATCTTTCCAAATTGAAAGTGCTCTGACAGGAATCTCTGTCCATTCTTTAAGAATCCATGCTGTATTCTCTTGGGGTACTTTTCAGCCCGTATATTTTTTCCCCCCAGTACCGTCCAAAAGCCAAAACTGCAGTTTATTAGGCTGACCAGGCCAGGAATGCTTCTCTAAAAATAATCTTGCTTTAAATGTTTTTGAAATGACATTGAGACAGAAAAGGGAAGTCATCTTGATAAAGGACTAATTGTGCAAGAAGTGCCTGACCAAATTTTATCAAATTTTTAAAAATCGAAATGTAATTAAATGAAATTGTAACATATTAAAATATTGTACGTCATGGTGATTTAATATACATATACATAATCTTATCAGATTTAATGTTAAAAGAGGAAAAACAAAGGCAAAACAAAACAGCATTTCTGGAAGAAGTGCTAAAATGGAAGTTTCTGAACCCAGTTGAGTAATAGCAGGGCCCATCCCTTTCTTAGAATACTTGTGGCCTAAGTGCTGCTGCCTGCTCCCAGATCAGCAAGGTCCTGCAGCCACTACTACCAAAGGAAGCAACTCAGGCAGGCTCCCTGGGATTCCTTCCCTTTTACTTGTTTATTTGAGCTGCTGAGTCACAACGGGGTGGGGTGGGTGCAGGTCGGAGCCAGGAGCAGTTACATGGTTGAATGATAAAGAAAGAATGCATCTGTGTAGGAATGTGGGTGTTTGTATGTGCTAGGGGAAGATGTCCAGCTCCTTGGGGAGTAAGATGAAGTGTTAACTCCCTTTATTCTGAATCTTCCTGAAGAAGAGAGAGTTGGAAAGGACTTCCCATTTAGGGAGGCTGGCAGCTTGAAGTCTGAGCAGGAATACTCGCCAGCCAGGATCAGCCACTTTGGGAACTCAGAAGTTCCCTTCCCTGGTAGCCCAAGGCATAAACTGAGAGGAGGAAAAGTGGGTGAGGAGGGGGGTGAGTCACCAGGCAGCCTGCGGGGGAAGAGGTTCCCCTCCTGAGCCTCACCAGACTGTGAACCTTTACTGGAAGGGGGAGTTGGAGCAGGAAGTCTCTCCTCATGCGTTTGGCTGTAGGTCGCTGAGTTGGACGCCACATTCTCAATCAGCATCTCTGAAGGTGGGCTGTGGGTCATAGGTTTAGCAAGCTTAGCTTCTGGAGCAGGACCTGGCACATCATGGCACTTGGCTCTCCTTCAGCTCCAGCTGCCTCCCTGAAACCACGCTTGCTGAGGAACACACAATCCAGAGCACTTGACCCAGCTGAACGCCCTTTACAGAATATCCCTCCCCTTGGTTCCTTGACTCTATCCCTGTTCCTCCCAGCTGCGCCTCTCTGCCCCCTGACCTGGAAGGACCGTGAATATGTAGGCCTCAGGCCTACACCCCCTGATCTTTTTCTTGCCACTCTCCCCAAGTAATCTCACCCTCTCCAATGGCTACTCACTGTTTCCTTGGCTAGACCCTTGTCTCCAACCTACACTCCTTTTCTGAGCCTCTTGGTAACCAGCTGCCCTGAATATTGCCATCTGGAAGTCTCATGCACCACATCTGAATCTGAACACATCGCCCTCCCCAAAGCTGCTCCCCTCTTGTGTTGTCCACCTGTCAGTGAGGCCACCTTCCCACCTCAGGCCCTTACACACTGCTCACTGCCGGTCTAACCTCCATCAGCTCGCTCCTCGGCCAGCTGCATCTTGACCTCTCTTCAGCTTCACTGTTGCTCTCTCCAGGTGGCAAGCGTGATCCTCCCAAGGGCCAGGCCCTCAAAGTACCCTGGTACTACCTTATAGAATTAAGCATGCTTTTAGTAATTATATAGTTTTTCTGCCTTCCTGAGGACTGTGTCCCTGGCACCCAGCAGAGCCCTTGGCACAGGACTGAATGATGAGTGGTGCAGTTAGGGGGCAAAGGGCTTTTAGGAAAGAGATGTGGAGTGTAGGTGGTCACAGGTGTACCCAGATACACCCAGATGTATAGGTTGCTATTCTCCATTCCAGGAATCAGATTTGGAGTCCACAAGTGATCAAAAAGCCCTGGTCCTGTTTGGGCGGAAAGTTCTCTTTATATTGACAAACATTTGCTGATTCATATCATTCACATTCTGGGCCCTGAGAGGGCCAGTCTCGGTCCTCCTTCTAGATCTAGACTCATCCTGTGGGGGAGCAGACCAGTCTCAGATGCAATCAAGACTCCTGAGTTCTGAGAGGAGTACAGATGGAATGGGATCCAAAGGGAGAACACATCTCTGCCTTGGTCACCTCAAAGGGGACGCAAAAGCTGAGGTGGAGCCCAGCCCGGCATGGCTCAGCGGTTAAGCATCGACCTAGGATCCAGGTGATCAGGGTTCGATTTCCAGTCAGGGCACATGCCCGGGTTGCAGGCTGCAGCTGATCAATGACTCTCTCATCATTGATGTTTCTAGCTCGCTCTCTCCCTCTCCTTTCCTCTCTCTGAAATCAATAAAGATATATTTTAAAAAAAGCTGAGGTGGAGAGGCCTTGTAGCCAGAGGGAGGTGGGCCTGTGCAGGAGATTTTTGTTTTAAGTTTCTTTAACTTTATTGTTGAAAATATTACAGATATCCCATTTTTACCCCCATTGATCCCCTCCACCCAGCATCCACCCCACCCCCAGGCCTTCCCCAGACCAATGTCTGTGTCCATGGATTATGCTTATAAACATGCAAGTTCTTTGGTTAATCTCTCCCCTCCCACTCCCCCATCTCCACCTCCCCTCTGAGATCCCCAGCCTGTTCCATGCTTCTGTGTCTCTTGACCTATTTTGTCCATCAGTTTATTTTATTACATTCCACATATGCGTGAGATCATGTGGTACTTGTCTTTCTCTGACTGGCTTATTTCACTTAGCAGAATTCTTTCTAGTTCCCTCCATGCTGTCCAAAGAGATAAAAGATCCTTCTTTTTACAGCTGCATAGTATTCCATGGTGTACTGTGCAGGAGTTCTGATGGAGGAAAGAGAGCTAGAAGAGCTGCAGAGGGCCCTGCTCCCCCTAAATGACCTAAAGGCAGACAAGTGGGGGAGGGTGGCAGTAAAGATTCTTGCTTAGGGCTGAAGGAAAAGTTCTGAGTTGGTTCAGACACAGAAGACTTGAACCACCAACTCGAGCATGAAGGCCAGGACCCCAGAACCTCTGGCCCACATTCTGGACTGGGATGACACTGCCAGCATGTTATCTGGGTCCTTGTCTGCCCAAGCAGAAGCTGCATCCAAGCCCTGAAGAGTCCCTTGTCCTGTGATAGGAAGTGGTTCCAGGTCTGTATGGGAAGATTATTGACAGCAGGACCCACAGATGAGGTCGGACCTGAGTCACACCTCAGAAGCAACAGCTGGCCTCCAAGATATGTCCCTACCCTGAGCCTGACCATGCATTTGCAACTGCCAAATGCCATGCAGGGCATGGTCAGAAGACCAATTGTATACTCTTCTCACTGAATACATGAGAGGCAGCAACCAGTAAGGACAGCATTGGAGCAGATGTAAACGCTGGGTAGCAATGTGCAAAGATGGCCCAGGCCAGCATGACTCAGCAGTTGAGCAATGACCTATGATCCAGGAGATGGAGGTTGGATTCGGATCAGGGCACAAGCCAGGGTTTCAGGCTCGATCCCCAGCAGGGGCGTGTAGGAGGCAGCCAATCCAATGATTCTCTCTCATCATTGATATTTCTCTCTCTCTTCCTCTCTGAAATCAATAAAAATACATTGTTAAAAATATATGCAAAGGTGTAGCAAAGTAATGGGAAAATAATTTGTAATGTTGCATGAGTCCAACTGTGTAAAAGGCCTGTGTGGGCCTAACACTTGGAGAAGCCAGACTCAGTGTGAGTGGGAGCTCATGGTGTTGTAATTTTGTGTGAAGGTCATTTCACACCCAGCAAATATTCAGAAAAGAGAGGCCTACTACTGGGGTTAGGAAGTCAGCCCCTGACTTGTCTTCATTTTTGGAGTGAGGACTCCTGTTTCTAACAGGGCCCAGGGCCCCTAGTGCATGTACTGGGAGAGGGAGAGACAGAACCAGGCTGCCCACACAGGAAAGAGTGGCCCCCCCACACTGCAGAGAAGAACAGGAAGTTCAGGCTTGCCAGGAAGGGGTTGGGGCAGGGCAGGGCTCAAGCTCCCAGCCCTATGACAATGAGGATCATAGGAAGGGGGTTCCCCCCAGCTCACACTGGCACACGACAAACACACAGTTATGCTGACATCAGACAGTTTATTGTGGAAAGCCATTGTGGGACGGGGAGCTGGGATGGACAGGACAGGGCCCATCTAGGGGATTTTCCTGGACATCAGGCATTCCTCCTTGCAGGTTTAGAGGAAACACCGTCATGGATAAAACCCCCAGAGGGCAGCGCTGTGACTGCCAAGCAGGAGGGCTGGGGGCGGGGGTGCCCTAGGCACTGCCCGGCCCCTTGGTCAGCAGGGCTTCGATGTCTGGCTCGATGTCAATGGTCGGAAAGCGGCGGCTGTACCTGCGCACAGGCACCCCGTCCGGGCCCACCAGGAACTTCTCGAAGTTCCAGGAGATGTCGTTGCGGCACACCGGAGACCAGATGATGAACTTGGGGTCGGTCATGAGCGCAGTGGCGTCGTCACTGGGTGCGGGCAGAGCCTCCCGCAGGAAGACGAAGAGTGGGTGCGCCTGCGCGCCGTTCACCTCGCACTTCTCGAAGAGCGTGAAGTTGGGCTCGAACCCGCCCCCAGGCCTGACATACTTGAGGGAATTCAGGATCTCTTCGTTCTTGGCGTTCTCCTGCGGGAGGCAAGAGCAGCCGGGACCCGGGCCCTTGAGGGGAAACCTTCTCACCGCAAACAAGGGGGTTTTGGGTGACTCACCAGGCTCTTTGCCCTTCTTGCACATCCCTGGGGCAAGCCTGAACCCCAGCCTGGACGAGCGCCGGAGGGAAGCGGGCCTGCGGCTGCCGCCCCGCACCCCGGGCACGGGGCTGCAGGGCGGTGACCGCACAGCCGCGCTCCTGACCCCGCCTGCACCACCACCCCCGTCCCGTCCCGCTCCGCCCAGCGCACCTGATGCCCGAACTGGTTGCACGGGAAGCCAAGCACGACCAGGCCCCGGGGCCCAAGGCGCTTCTGCAGCTCGTTCATCTGGGTGTAGTCCCGGACCGTTGTGCCTCAGAGCGAGGCCACATTCTCAATGAGCAGCACCTTGCCCTGCAGGGAGCCCAGGCTCACGGGCTCCCCGCCGGCCAGCG